CAAGGGCGAGATGGCTTTCGGCGGCGTGGAGCAGTTCTACGGAGGCGTGCTGCACGCCAGTAGTTTACCTATCCTACCCGCCCACTCTTACCAGCGACCCCCGTCCCCTGACCTGTGGGCAGGCCTCGAGAAGATCATCGGGCCGCCGCTCATGGTGGACGGCTCGCTCCTCAAGGCCATGGAGACGGAGCACTGCGAGAAGAAGGATGCGGACGTGCCGTTCGACACCTCCAACGGCATCAAGGGCGCGACCTCCAAGCTGGAGTGGGAGTTTGTCGTCGCGCCTGTCGAGGACCAGGACGGCCGCTACGCCGAGCGCGGCGGCGACTTCCGCACGGCCCACCCCGAGTGGTGCCGCAAGCCGGAGCCGCTCTCGGTCTACGAGAAGAAGATGGCGGACGAGATGAACCCGAAGCTCGTTAAGGCGGGGCAGGCGCCGCTCACCAAGGAGGAGCTGGTCGCCGGCCGGCTGTACACGGGGCCGATGTACGAGAAGTACAACGGCGTCCTTCGCTTCTCCTCAGCGCGCGGCGCCGACGGCGCGGTGCGGCTGGAGTACGCCTCGGAGAAGGAGGTGCCCTTTCTGCAGAAGAAGTGCGGCTTGCTTAACCTCGGCGAGTGGGCTGCGACGGCGGCAGGCAAAGGCGAGGCCGCGGTGCGCTGGACGTGGCACAACCAGTACTCGACCACCATCCACGCGATCAACTCGATCATTGTCAAGCTGTCGCCGCTGACCAAGATCACGCCGCTCTACCGCGGCTGGGCGGGCGCCACGCTCCCGGAAGCCTTCTTCAAGCCGGACGCGCTGGGCTTCCGCGGCGGCGTCGAGTACGGCTTCTCGTCGACCACCACCGACCGCGCGCAGGCGGTGCACTACGCGGAGGGCAAGGCGTCGACGGTGCTCGAGCTCGGGATGGGCATGATCGACCGCGGCGCCGACATTGCGTGGCTCTCGCAGTACCCGCACGAGAGGGAGACGCTGCTGCCGCCGCTCATGGGCCTGCAGGTGCGTCAACCTCGCTCCACCTCCCTCCTCCGCCTTCTCCTTCATCGCCTGCCCCTTCTCGACACCTGCAGGTGCGGTTGACGGGCGTGGAGGGCAGCACGCTCGTCATCCAGTGCAGCTTCTCCATCAACATGGCCTCGCTCACGCTCGAGCAGGTGGCGGGCAAGCGCAAGAAGCTGCTCACCGACATGGGCGCGCAGATGGCGGCGGAGGTGCGCCGGGGGGTGGCTGGGGAGGCAGCGGAGGAGGCGTCGCAACTAGTTCGCATGCATCTCGGCCTCGAGCGCGGCGCGGACGCCGGTGCGGCGGACGAGCGGCTCGAGGCGCCGCTCGGCGACGAGGCTGAGGCGTACAACAACGACCTGCGCTTCCAAGCGGCGGTGGGCGATGCGCTCAAGGTGAAGCGCGCGGCGGTGCTCGCGGCGACGATGCAGCACGGCGGCGGCAGCGGGCTTGCCGCGGCGATGGATACGGTACTGCCGCTGCAGGCCAGCGGCGTCGATTTGACGGGGTTCCCCCTTGGGACTACCGGCTGGATCAAGGCGAGCGAGGTCGAGGGCGAGTCCAAGGAGGTCGGGGCGAAGGTGATCTACCAGGGGCGCGAGATGGTCGTGAGCACGGGCGTGACTCGCGACTCCGAGGACGAGGAGGACGGCAAACTGAAGCTGGTCGATGACGGGATGGTGGGAACAGTGGTCGCGTGGATGGAGTCGGAGCCGTCGGCGCTGACGTCGCTGACGCTCGATTGGGGCAAGGTGTGCGGCCGCGTGCGGGAGGCGCTGCTCGGCGCGGTGCGGAAGACGCACACGCTCGTCGCGCTGAGCGTGGGCGAGGAGCGCGCGATCCCGCTCAACCCGCTGCAGCTCCGCGGGCGCGAGGCGGTGCCGTCGCTCGACTTGTCGGGGAAGGTCCTCGGACCCGGATCGGCTGCGGTCGTCGCGGCGGGGGTTTCGGTCAACGGGGTGCTGACCTCCTTGAACATGGGCGGCAACGAGATCGGCCCCACCGGCGCGACTGCGATCGCCGAGGCGCTGCGCGGCAGCGGGGTGCTGAAAAACCTCGACCTCGGCGAAAACGAGATCGGCGACGAGGGCGCGAAGGCGATCGGCGGCGCTCTCGCAGTCAACGGGGTGCTGACCACTCTTGACCTTTCGGGCGACCCATACACCAGCAGCGGCGGCATCGGCCCCGAGGGTGCCAGCGCGATCGCAGAGGCCCTTAAGGTCAACGAGGCGCTGACCAACCTCGTGCTCATGTACAACAAGATCGGCGACGAGGGCGCCGCTGCGCTGGCCTCCGCTCTTCGCGTCAACGGGGTGTTGAACACCATCAACCTCGCCCGCAACGACATCAGCGGCGAGGGCGCCGTCGCGATCGCCGACGCCCTTCGCGTCAACGGGGCGCTGACCAAGCTGAACCTGCTGTACAACGATTTGGGCGACGAGGGAGAGAAAGCGATTCGCGATGCGGTGAGCGAGCGGGAAGGATTCGAGCTCCAGTGTCCAGATGTGAGTGGGCTCTGAGAGCTAAGTCGGCGCAGGGGGGCGTGCGGGAAGTTAAGACGGGGTTGTCACGGGGTTGTCTTCTGAAAGAAAGAAAGAAAACACACAACCCAAGGGGTTGTCTTCTACGAGGTGCGTCGAGGCGCCGCGATTTCTTTTGTTGTCTTTTGCGTTTTTCAGCAGGGGGCTGACCACCTCCGCCGCGCTGCCTCCGCCGCGCCAGCCGTTGCCGCCGCATCGGCTTATCCTCGCCCCGATGTCGGCAGCGAGCTGGCTTTCCGGCTCCTCGCTCGGCGGCACAGCGCGCAGCTATGCTACACGCCGATGATCCGGTCCGAGGAGTTTGCCGTCCCCTGCTGGAGCGCCAGCCGACGACTGCCCGCTGGTCGCCCACTCTTCGGGCAACGACCCGCAGACGCTGCTCGACGCTGCGAGGCAGGCCGAGCGCTGCCGCGGCGTGGTGGCGGTCGACCTCAACCTCGGCTGCCCTCAGCGCGCCGCGCGGAGCGGCAGGTTTGACCGCCGCGCCAGCCTTGAGAAGCAGCTGGACGCACTCGAGGTGGCCCTCCTGGCACGCCATGAACAGCGGCGTAGCGCCGTCCTCATCGGCCTGCTTGACCACCGCGCCCGCCTCGAGCAGCAGCCGGGCGCAGCTGAGCTCACCCTCCTGGCTTGCAATGAGCAGCGGCGTGGCGCCGTTCTGCCTGGGCTTGGCCGACCGCCGCATTGGCCTCGAGGAACAGCCGGACGCACTCGAGGTGGCCCCTCTCGCACGCGAGGAAGAGAGCGGAGGCGTCCCCGTCAGCCGCCCCAACGCTCGCGCCGCCCTCGAGCAGCAGCCGCACCGCCTCGGCGCTTGCCCGTGACGAGCGGCCCAGGTGAGCAGCGTGTCTTGCTTCTCGGTCGGGTGCCGCGCGTCGAGCCTGCCGCGTGTCTGTCGCCCGGAGAGGAGGGCGAGCAGCGAGCCCAGATCGCCCCGTGCCAGGTCGGGCAGCAGGGCTGGGCCGCCGGCGCCGCTCATGACGCGGGGTGCCCGAATTCTTTTTGCCGCATGGAGCTCGGAGGGAGCTCTGTTGTAAAATTTCCGAGCAAAAACGCGCTGACATATGCCGCCGAGCTCCGAGCCGCGATTGTTTTCGTATGTACTGTGTGAGAGAAGCTACAACAATCAACATGGTCATGGAGACGCAGGCCCCTGTGTCCTCTTTTGTTCGTTGCTGAGGGAGGGTGTGTAGAGGAGTAGGGGTTGTTGCACGAGTATATGGGCCACGATGTCTCAAATATGAGGGGTTTTGACTCCTACCGGCTCCTGACGCTATCCCTGGCAGCTCTAATGGCCAGGGTCAGTAGTGTTGTGATAGATGGTGCCCATACTAGCGCAGGAGCTGCCACACTCGCCCGGACCGTCCCCTTCTGGGGCCGGTTCCGCAGCCCGCGAGAGCCGACAGCGGGGCCGTGCCGCAGGTGCCTACTGCCGAGTGCCACAAACACTGCGCCGTCCCGCCATCACCTACAGGCTGTCTTGTGGGATGGTTGGGATGTCCAAACGCCACCATCTTGGCTCTTGCGACCTCAAACCCTCGAGCTGTATGGGTGGTCCTGACGTCGACAGACGCCCGAGGACCAGGGTGAAGCTGAGCCGGAGCGCGTCGACAGGTCTCGTCTGAGCCCGTGGCGGTCGCCGGCTGAGTCGCCGTGCACGGGCCGGTACCTCAGGCGTCACCTCCGTAGCCTCAGGTCTCACACTCCATCACCTCCGACGGGACGCCGTCGGTGGCACGCTCGCCGGCGAGTTTGTGGCAGCTCCACAGCAAGCGCGGCATCGAGCCTACTTACTCCAGTTGGTTCGGCACACTCGGTGGGGTCCACCGAGTGTGCCGAACGCGCGAGCGGTGCGTCCCGGCAGCGCGCGCAGGCTGCGGAGCTGCCACAAACTCTCACACGCTTTTTTGGGACATTTTCGACGCTTTTGGCCCATATACTCGTGCAACAACCCGTAGAGTGTAGAGCGCTGTAGAGCTGTAGAGATGTATAGAGCGCTCTGGAGCGCTGTAGAGCTGTAGAGCTCTACATCCGGCGCGTGACGATGCGCCTCCGTTGTAGAGCGATGTAGAGGCGCTCTACAACGTGAAATCTCTACAACAAATACGCGTCCCAGACCCCATGGGAGAGCCGTACCGGTTCGGGCCCTCCCGCATGGTATGCATCAGTAGGTCAGATCCACCGACCGGCAAACTCACATCCCAGCGCCATTCCTTCCGGCGTCACATCTTTATTCTTTTGGTAGTGTGGGACCTGCGGCGGTACCCGTCTCTGTTGTTCGGGCAGTGAGAGACGCAGGATCTGCACGCCAAAGTGGGCCACTCCGCATTTTCATTTTGGTTTTGGGTTGTCGGAGATCATCCATCAGCTCTCATGTCTCATCACAGTCAGTCACGTCAGTCAAAGCAGTCGTGGCACGTGGAGCAGCGCTGCATGCAACGGCGCCGCCACACGCTCCGGACGACCCCGACACACCGACACACCACGCAAGGGAGGCTATCGCGCACGATCGGGCATCGCGCCGCAAACAACTCGCCGCACAGATGGGGGGGAGGCAGAATCCCACACACACCGGAGCAGCACAGACACCTTACACGTCAGCGCTCGCTCGATGTGGCCGGCGCTCTCCCCTCGGTCCTATCTCGCCTTTTCAACGGCGGCGTGCGGCCACGCGCCGCGCCGAGCCGGTCTCGGCGGGAGACCTCGGAGCCGCACGCGATGCGGGCATGCGCGATGGCTCCGTTGGCTCCGTGCCTAAGGCAGATCGATTAGGGTGTGAGCTGGGCAGCCACCGTTTCTGTACCCGCTCGATCACGTGCAGGCCGTCGGAGGCCGCGCTGGATGGCCCAGGGCCGGCGGCGGTGAAGGCGTCCGTCGATGAAGGGATGTCGTCGAGGGAGCCATCGTCCTCCGCGGCTGGTGCACCGGTCCAGTTGTCGGAGTCCGAGATCGCAGTCGACTTGGAGAGATGATCGGCCCGTTGACGAACTCACGGAATGTGAGCGACTTGGTGCACGCTGGGTCGAGCATCATGACTCGCACCTCATCCTGGGCGAGGAACTCGCCCAGGGACCAGCTGTTGGCGTCGCCGTTTTGATCGAGCTGCATCCACTGCATGGTTTCGTAGTCAAGCGTAAACGCCCAGGAGTTGGTGCCTGGGTGACTTGCTGATGAGAGCGCCTTCCAGGCGGGTAGTCGTGCCCCTCACCTAAGGTCATACGGCGGTGTCAGAGGGGGGGAGGGGCGCGAAGCGTGAACATGGAGGCAAGCAGGTGGTGGCTGCACCTGGCCAAAGCCGGCGACCTCAAAGTTGTCGTAGCTTGTGCGGATAAAGCCGTATCGCTGAGCGTGAGAGGGACCGGATCGGCAGCAGCATGGGCGGCCGCGTCAGCGGCCGGAGAGGCCGGAGAGCCATCCGACGGAGGCCGGTCGTGCATCGGCGCGTCAGCCGCAGGGGGCGGGGGGGCGGCGGCATCCATCGCTGCGGGTCGCTGGGGGCCGACGATTGTGGACTGATCGATCGTGGCGGGCGGATTTCGGCTGGGACGTTCTACGTTAAAAGAGCGTCGGCGCCGACACGAGAGACTTATAAGGGTAGACTAGTGTGGACCTGCGGCGTGTTGCCTTTTCTCTGGCCGTTGTGTTTCTTCACGTAAGCGGGTAACTCACTGATCCTCCACCGGATCCGACTTTCGACAGTGCTGGCAAAGCGCATCGCGCAGCCGCACGGAGTCTCCGACAGCCACGCACAGCCTCACGCTCACTGTGGTTGAGACTTTCATGCACATGCAAACTCGCAGGTCAGGGTCTCTGGCCACATGCGAAAGGAAAGGCTCATCAGAACGGATTCGTTTGCACGCCGTGCAGAAGCTGGTGAGGTATGGCATGCCAAGATAATCTCCATCGCGATTGCTATCCAACGTGCCATCTCCAACCCAGTCCTCAGGCACGTGGTCGCCACCGCTTGGCTGCCACTCTCCCGCGCGAGATCCATAGTTTATCAGATCACCCAGTAGGTCTGCAGCTGAGATGCTGCCATCTGCGTCACACGTCAGTCCCGGAATTGCGGGCGTGGCCACTTCACCGTCGTATGTGCACGTGCAGTAGGGAAGGTGCGTGCCGCTAAAGGCGGAGGGGTTGGTGAAGTACTCGCCGAGCTCTACACCGCGCGCCAGTCGATCGGCGCGCACTCGGGCATCGTAGACAGCTTGGCTCTCACCTGGCTGACCCAGCATGCCATCCTCGACACGTCGCTTGAGCTCTGCATAAGGCAGTGAGCGCATTTTTTCGCGGTCGCGCGGGCAATGGCATGTCTCGGCGATGCGGGTGTTCTTTGTGTCTTCATACTCATCGGAGTTGCGCCAAATGCAAAGCAGATCTTCCAAGTGAGGCTCGTCGAGTGGGTCACCCACATTGCGGTAATCTTGGAGCCACGAAAGAAAGTCGCCGCGCACCAGGATGTCCAAGCTTTCGAGAACGACTTGTGCGGCTTGTTGCTGGGAGGCAGTGTCAGCTTGCTGCTGCGGAAGTGATGGCGCAGGGGACGGCAGCCGCTGCTCTGCGCGCCAGGCAGCCACCAAGCCAACCTCCGTGGGGACGTGCATGCTGCCGTACATCGCAGGACCGCGCTGCTCGCGCCATGCCTGAAACGCCATCTCTTCTTGCCTCGTCATCGAGTTCATCAAGGCATCAAGCTCGGCGAGTCCAGGCTCAGGGTCTGCAATCTGCTGCGCCTGCGGCTCCGAGGATTCTCCGATCTGCTGCCTCCCTGCAGCCTCGGCCGCAGAAGCGTGCGCCTCTCTTGCGATCTGACCCGCTGATCTGCCACCGCTTGGAGGCCAGGTTGCCTCTCCTGCCGCGTCCTCGCCCTGGCTACGGCCCGCGCCATCGCCCTCCTTCATTTTGCACCGCCAAGCGAGGGGCAATCGCAATCCAGATCCGACGACGGAGCGATCCGCCCGTCCTCGTAAAAAGAATTGTTTCTACTTGAATTTTGCACAAAGAAAAGGCCCTCGTTAAAATTGCGGCAACACACCAAACATGCTCAGGTCTTGCCGTCTTTGCCGTGCCACATTGTACTCTTGCATCTTCTGGATCAATCTATCCGGCAGCCTGTAACGTTTACGCCGGCCGTGCACTCTGCAAAAGGGCACCAGTCCGCTGGCGGGTGTGTTGCACTCGTCCGTGGGTGGGCCGCCAAGCGCGAGATCCTCCTGAGAGAGCGGCTCAAAAGGCTCCAGGACGCATCCGCACACGCAGTAGCCTGCTGCAGCGCGTTGCTGCACGCCCAAGACAGGGTCAGGGTCAAGTGAGCCGGGTATGGGCTTGAAGCTCAGGCTGGGCAGCAGCCACCGCAGCGTGGCCAGTGCACCGATGCGCCGAAACCCGGTGGCTGATGCTCCAGTCCCACAGCCGCGTCGTGTAGCGGACTCGACCGCCACCGCCATCAGTGCGCTTTCCCACTGCTGGGAGCCATCTGGCTCATGCGAAGCGGCCCACTCCTTGATTGCGAGGCACAGCCAATGGTCATAGTAGTTATCCCCTCGCACGCTGCTAAAGAAGCCAGTGGTCCGCCAATAGTCAGAATCTCGCAGCGCCTCATCAGCGGCCTTGAGCAGCGCCACCTGCTCATCGAGCCGCCGAATCCGCATGCGTTCCTCATAATAGCTTGTCACCGTGAGCTTGGCCACGTCACGCCGCCGCTGCGACCGCTCGCGCTCCCTCTCCATTCGCTCCTTGGCGGCCATGACTGCCTGCGGCCCTACCACGGGGAAGCCTTGTGTGGTGATGGTGGGTGGGGCGGGGAGGGATGGGAGGCAAAGCCACCCCCGGCATGCCTGCTTCAGGAACCATCTGGCTGGAGGTGGCGCCGGCAGCTCCAGCAGCGGCGCTCTGTGTAGTCGCCGAACCAATGCTCGCACTTGCCATCATCGCCGTGATCGCTCGCGCATCCCTCTTGCGCTCGGCGTCTTCGCTCTTGGTCCGCCTCGACATCTTGCGCCTGGTGTCGCGAGCAATACCATACATGCCCATGGCGAGCTCGTACGCCTGCTGGTCGCCACCTTCCGGCGGCGGCTTTGGCCTCTTGAGCCGTGGCGGGCCAGCGTGCACACGGCCGCTATGTGTCACGGCAGGTGTCGCTGCGGCCTTGCGCTGGCGCTTCAGGGAGGCAGATGGCTCCTTCTCCGCCGCCCGCAGCAGCCGTGCATGCTGCTGCTTTCGATCGCGCCACTGGTCCCGCCGGCTGCTCCCGCTGTCGCCGCTGTCGGGGGGGAGCCGGCGTTCGGTCCATTTGGCGAGCCAGCGATTCTGCTCGGCATGCCATTTTTTGTCGGTCTCGTAGTTGACTGAGTGGGGGGGCGGTCCCGCCTCCACGGCTGCTCGAATCTCGTCCGGGTTCAGCCGTCGCTTGGCCATTGGGCGGAGCTGGTGGTGCAAACGACCGAATCGGTGGGACGGTCGGAAACTGGTGGCGGTGGGACTTATAGGGTTAGATTTGTTCCTGTGGGGGTATATTGATATATTGCTGAATTGTACCTACAAAAAAGAAAACAAAGTGCGCCAGGGGGTGCGGGATGGCGGCGCCCCTGCAGTCTGAGCTTGAGGCTTCCGCGCCGCCAGCGGTGGCGGTGGCAGAGGGCTTGCGCCTGCACCTCTCGAGCAGCAACAGCACCGGCTACAAGGGCGTCTACTTTCTGAGCGGCCGCTTCTATGCTCAGCGACGGAGGCCAAGGGGGTCTCTCTCTCAGAGGCCGGACCGGCACCTCGGCTTCTTTGGCTCGGCGGTGAAGGCGGCGGTGGCGTACGCGAGGGCGGTCGACGAGGCGGAGGCGGCGGCGACAGCGGAGGCGGAGGCGACGACAGACCGAGACGAGCACCCCACCTACCAACTCCGCCGCGCAGCCGCGACGAGTACGTCCCTGGCAGCCGCCGCCGCCTCCACCTCTACCGCCACGTATGCGCGAGGAGACCGCGTCTCGTCGGCACCGCGGCCCGGGTATGGAAGGAAAAAGGCGTGGTTCCCCGCACGGATCGCCGCAGTCAACGCAGACGGCACGTACGATTTGGTCTACGAGGATGGCGACGAGGAGGAGGGCGTCGCGGCCGAGCTCATCCGGCCCGAGCAGGCGGCGCCGCCCGAGCAGGCGCCGCCGCCCGAGGCCGCGGAGCAGGCAGAGGGCAGGAGCCCAAAAGCGCGCAAACTGGCGCGGCCGGCCGTGCCACCGCCGACGCCGCCGACGCCGCCGCCGCAGCCGCCGCAGCCGCAGCCGCAGCCGCCGCCGCCGACCAAGGGGCTGCCAGAGCCACCACCGCCGGGGTCCGCGCCCGCAGCAGCAACCCTGCCGCCGGGCTGGAGCGTCGAGCAGCGCACAACCTCCTCGGAGCGCACGTACTCCATCTACCACAGCCCAGCGGGGCTGCGCTCCGCCTCGCTGGCTGACGCGTGGCGCAAGCACGACGCGGAGGCCGAGGCGGAGGCGCTGACGCTAAACTGGCTGGATCGGCTGCCGCCCCGCCGGCTCAAGCCGCTCTGCGAGGCGAGAGGGCTGCCGGCGTGCGGCAACTCGGAGGCGCTGGCGAGGCGGCTGCGCGAGAGCGGCGGTCTGAGCGTGTCGCAGCTCAAGGCGCTGTGCGAGGCGGAGGGCCTCGTCAAGCAGGGCACCAAGGCGGAGCTCGCCCGACGTTTGCTCGACAAGCAGTCTGCGGGCGCGGCGGAGCCGGCGGCGGGCAAGACCGCGACGCGCGGCAAGGGCACAAAGCGGCCGGCAGAGGCAGAGGGGCTGCGGCTGCACCTCTCCAGTAGCAACAAAACCGGCTACAGAGGCGTGTGTGAGCATCACTCTGGCCGCTTCGTGGCGCGGCACGTGGTGGACGGGAGGTACTGCAGCCTCGGCAGCTTCGGCACGGCGGTGGAGGCGGCGGCGGCGTACGCGCGGGCGGTCGCGGAGGCGCCGGAGGATGCAGCTGCGGAAGAGGGGGAGGAGGCAGAGGAGGAGGAGGAGGGGGAGGAGGGGGCAGAGCCGGCGCCGGTGGTCGAGGAGGCAGAGGGGCTGCGTTTGCACCTCTCCAACAGCAACAGCACCGGATACAGAGGCGTGCGGATGCAGAGGGGCCGCTTCAACGCGCGGCACATGCTGGACGGAACGTGTCTGTACTTGGGCAGCTTCGGCACGGCGGTGGAGGCGGCGGTGGCGTACGCGCGGGCGGTCGGGCAGGGAGGAGCGGAGGAGGGCGAGGAGGAGGGGGAGGCAGAGGAGGAGGAGGAGGGGGAGGAGGGGGCAGAGCCGGCGTCGGTGGTCGAGGAGGCAGAGGGGCTGGGTCTGCACCTCTCGAGCAACAGCAACGCCGGCTACAGGGGAGTGTACGCACGTGCGGACGGCCGCTTCCGGGCGCAGCGCAGGGTGGGCGGAAGGGTGGTCGGCCTCGGCTGCTTCGACACGGCGGTGGAGGCGGCGGCGGCGTACGCGCGGGCGGTCGGGCAGGGAGGAGCGGAGGAGGGCGAGGAGGAGGGCGAGGGTGAGGGCGAGGGCGAGGAGGAGGGGGAGGAGGAGGAGGAGATGAAGGAGGCCGAGGAGGGCCTCTCTTGGCTCGAGCCCCTCGGGACGCGACCCCTCAAGGCGATGTGCAAGGCTCGTTGGGCCGCTTCCTGCTACGGCTTCGGCCGAGGTACCCTTCCCTTGAACCTCCTCGGAACTTCCCGCAGGCGATGGGCCTCTCCTACTACGGCTTCGCCGAAGACGCGACCGCGATCGCCGACCTGCTCCGCGGCCGGGGCGGCCCCACCCACCCGGCGCTGCGGGAGGCTTGCCGGGCGGCGGGCTTGCGCGTGAGCGGCACGGTTGCGGAGCTGGAGGCGAGGCTGGAGGAGTCCGTCGGTCTGGGCGGCGGCGAGGGGGAGGAGGAGGAGAAGGGGTGGGATGGCGTGGAGTGTGGCGCTGGCGGCGACGGCGGCGACGGAGGCGGCGACGGAGGCGGCCCTGGGGTAGGGCCGGGCGGGCGACGCCACTGCCTTGTGTGCCGCCGAGTCGGGCGGCGCCACTGCTCCATTCATGGGGAGGCACCCGACCCGCTGGCTCGGCCGGCTGCAGCGGTGACACCAGGATTGCGCCAAGAACGACAACAGGGATTGCGCGGGAGGCCACCGCCGGCAGCAGCACCACCGCCGCTGCGGGTTAACCAGCACACGGCGCAAGAGGTGGCGCCGCTCGAGCTGGCGTGCACTGGGTGCAAGGCTGCGCACCGGACGATTCACACTTGCCGGGTACGTTTGGAGAGATCCCCAAGCGATGTACCGCCTCAACACCCTTTGACATCGATTGGTTGCCACAGGTGGTGATGGGCCACACTGGCCCGAACTGGACCGAGGGCGCCATGGAGGAGGGCGAGGGCGAGGGCGAGGGCGAGAACGAGTCGACCGACGCGCCCGCGCCGAAGCGACGCTCCAGCCGCGCCGCCGCCGTCGCACTCTCGGCAGCCTCTTCTACCACCCCTCCCGCCGCCTCCTTCTCTTCCTCCTCCGCCGCTACCGCCTCCACCGCACCCACCGCACCCACGGAAGAGGAGGAAGAGGAGGAGGAGGAGGGGGAGGTGGTGGAGGAGGCAGAGGGGCTGCGGCTGCACCTCTCCAGTAGCAACAGAACCGGCTACAGAGGCGTGTGTGAGCATCACTCTGGCCGCTTCGTGGCGCGGCACGTGGTGGACGGGAGGTACTGCAGCCTCGGCAGCTTCGGCACGGCGGTGGAGGCGGCGGCGGCGTACGCGCGGGCGGTCGCGGAGGCGCCGGAGGATGCAGCTGCGGAAGAGGGGGAGGAGGCAGAGGAGGGGGAGGAGCGGGAGGAGCGGGCAGAGCCGGCGCCGGTGGTCGAGGAGGCAGAGGGGCTGCGTTTGCACCTCTCCAACAGCAACAGCACCGGATACAGAGGCGTGCGGATGCGGAGGGGCCGTTTCAACGCGCGGCACATGCTGGACGGAACGTGTCTGCACTTGGGCAGCTTCGGCACGGCGGTGGAGGCGGCGGTGGCGTACGCGCGGGCGGTCGGGCAGGGAGGAGCGGAGGAGGGGGAGGAGGAGGGGGAGGCAGAGGAGGAGGAGGAGGGGGAGGAGGGGGCAGAGCGGGCGTCGGCGGCCGAGCAGGCGCGGGCAGGATTCGCCGAGGCTCCGTCAGTGGCTGCGTCAGTGGCAGAGGGGCTGCGCCTGCACCTCTCGAGCAGCAACAGCACCGGCTACATGGGCGTGTTCAAGGTGCGCTCTGGTCGCTTTTCGGCCGAGACCGGCGGTGGCGGCAGATTCCTACGCGCGCATCTGGGCACCTTCGACACGGCGGTGGCGGCGGCAGTCGCCTACGCGCGGGCGGTCGGGGAGGCTCCGGCGGTGGTGGCAGATGCGGGAGGGGTGCGGTTGCACCTGTCTAGCCGCAATCCCACCGGCTACCGCGGTGTGACCAAGGATTGCGGCCGCTTCCGGGTTGAGATCAAGTTGAATGGGAGGCGGGTCCACTTGGGCACTTTCGACACGGCGGTCGAGGCGGCGGTGGCGTTCGCGCGGGCGGGCGGGGAGGGGCTGACGCCGGCCTCACGCGGCAAGGGCACCAAGCGCCCTCGCGAGCTCGGCTGCTTTTGCGACACCGACCGCCACCTGCCGACCAACAACCTGCCGTTTGAGGGCGTGTGGATCAGCTGCGACGCGTGCGGCCGCTGGTGCCACGGCGAGTGCGCCGGTGTGGACAAGCAGCAGGCCGAGGAGGCGGAGGAGTACATCTGCATGCCCTGCGCTGCCGCCGACCAGAGCGCGGGCGCGTCCTCCGATGGCGGCTCGCCGCTCATCGTTGCTGCCGTCGTGAGCGACGGCGACGGCTCCGACGGCGACGACTCTGCAGACGGCGCAGAGTGGGTCGACGCGGAGGTGGTCGAGATGGCGTTCGACGGGACGAACGCCGTCGGATCTGGCCGCAGCTCGGGCGAGCCGAGCGGCGGGTCCGACTTTTTGATCGCGCCGGGCCGCGCCCGGCCGCCACCGCCGCCCTCCGGGTGGGTGTGGCCGCGCGAGGGGGGTGTGATCGAGGTGGAGGTGGAGGAGGAGGAGGGGCAGCCCGCCGCGTGGCTCCGCGCGACCGTGACGGCCGTGCTGGAGGACGGTTGGTTTCAGGCGCTGGTCCGCACGCCGTCCGACGAGGCCGGATGGCACGACTGGTTCTCGTGGCGCGAGGAGGGCACCGACTGGCGGCGCGTGCCGCCCCGCCAGGAGGCAGCGGCGGAGCCGTCATCGTCGTCGTCGGCGGCGGCCGAGCCAGAGGCGGCCGAGCCAGAGGCGGCCGAGCCAGCGGAGCCATCAGCGGCGAGCCAGCGAGGCGGTGCGATCGAGGCGGCGCCTGCGGGCCCGGCGCCGTGGTCGCGGGCCGAGGAGCAGCACCTTAGCGAGGCGATCCGCGAGTCCATGCCCGCGATCCATGCGCGCTTCGCCGCAAAGGAAGGCGGCGGCACCGCCCGCTCGGCTGAGGAGCTAATGGGTCGCTTCGTCGCGGCCGCGCGCTGGCAACGCGCAGAGGCGGCCGCGCGCTGAGTCGGCCAGGGGGCAGGGGCAGGGCGCGGCGTGGATCTGGAGAGTTGGAGCTGGAGAGTTGGATGAGAGACAACGAGACGGGTTGTATGCTGACGTGCGGGTGTGGTGGGGGTGGGGCGTGGGGGTCAGGTGAGAGCAGGTATTCGAAGGGGGAGGGAGCGCCATCGCGAGGGGAGGGGCGAGGGGGGCTGGTACAGGTCCGCCGTGAAATCTTCGAGGGTTGTGAGAGGAGTTTCGTTGTAAAATTCTCTTCTTCATGCACTGGTTCCTCTCTTAGTGCCAGTGCTGCTGGTGCTGCCGCGCCCAGCCCGCAGCCGCCAGTCGCAGTCCCGTGCCTGGGGTGGCGATCGCGAATTTCATTCCGAATTACCGAGCTTCTTTTTCGTAGTGTATGTATGTAGAATGTACGCTGTGTATTACTCTGTTAGTGCCAGAGTGGCGAGCGACTCAGGAATGTTCAATTCTTTTTCTGAGGAAGCCGTCGCCCGCGCCCAGCCTGCTGCGGTGAGCAGCCGCGATCTGAGTGCTGAGAGCCCGTCACCACCAGCCCCCTCAAGTGACTCCTCTTCCTCTCCGTCCTCTTCCCCCTCCCGTTCCTCCCCGTCCCCCACCGTTCGGCCTGTTTACACACCGCAGCCGCCACATCCTCCGAGTCGCTGTAGGGAGGGATGTCTACGTTCCTGTCGCTATAGGTCAGGATGTGAAAGAAGAGACCGGGGGTGTGTGCAGTGTGGGATATGGAAGGACGTAGGAGGCTCCGTAAAGCTAAAGGAGGACACTTAGACGCTTGGTCCGGAGCTCCGCACAAAGAAAGGGTGCTTCTGAGTACTACTACTAGATAGCTATGCACTTACTAGACTGTGGATGACTGTGGATGTGTTCACAGTCATTTGTGTAATTTCGGCGTTCCCCGGTCCTCCGCTTTGAGTCTTGCTCCATCAGTGGCGGGCCAGGCCACTTAGCGCTACGGTCCGCGTCAGCCCCCTACCGATCGGCCTGGAGGGTAACGGGGCCGCGCATCGATCGGCCTCCTCGAAAGCACCGCAGGGCGCCCCGTAGGATTGGGACGCCGTCCGACGCCCCCCTCCTAGAGCCGCTTTTTGTGCGGCCCGAGCTCCGTCTTGGACGCCTTCTTGTAGCAGCGCGCGCCGCCGACAGGCAGCGTCGAGAGGATGGGGCCCTTGAAGAGCTTGCAGCGGGACGCCTTGCCTTCGACGGTGTACTCGAACCCTGCGCGGGCCAGATGGCAATCTCGTGTAAGCTCGTGTAATCTCGTGTAATCTCGAACCCTGCGCGGGCCAAAGCGCGGTGTGCTGCGACCAAGAGGGAGGAGCTGAGGTGGGTGGGGGGGGGGGAGGCGCGCCGGTGCAGCCGCGGCTGAAGCGACACCTGTCGTGGCACCCCAATAGCCCGAGCTCGATACCCCAAAGCTCGTCAAAGTTGCCCTTGTTCTGCTCGTCCGTGCGGCACACGCCTGTAGCGGGCGCCGCGT